TCTCATCAAACCTCTGTATGCTCTGATAAGAAATGATTGTTTCAGATCTCGAAGTGCTGGCAACGACAATCTCTTTTCACTTCGTTTTTCGCCGTGTAAAAACAGCTTTAGTAGTATATCCATGTCTAATCGATCCAGTCATCTAGATGCTGGCGGTGGTGGAGGAACGCTAAATCCGCTGAAAGCCACTAAGAGATTCCTCAAAAAGTTAGTTTATTTCAAAATTTCATGAGTGGTATCATAAAAATTCAAGATTCGACGCTCCATAATGCGTGAAAACACCAAGACAACTTTGACAGTTGGTGAGGAAATTGTATGATAGTGGTGTTACTCAGCGGCTGTCATAAACGAGCCATGGCTGTGCCAAGCTAGTAATTCCTGGACTGATACCTGTAGTTAGCAGTTGAGCCTACTCAGTGTATGTGCACCACCTCTTCGGACACCATCAGTGGTCGTTTATTTCCTTTTGGATACCATTCAATAATATTTGGAAGCACTTTTGTACTTTTATCGCATCCAGTATTTCTTTGGAGTCCGACAAACTAGTGAAATAATAAAATAGGAGCTGAGAGTCCAGTCTAAGTAGCGTGTGAAAGAAGACGTGTTTGGTTGCAGGCCAGTTGAATGAGGATTGCATCAGTCTGCTAAGATCATTAAAACTAAGTGGAAGCCTGGATGGTGATTTCATTTTCGGGAGTTTAACAAATAAAATCCAAAGAGCACGAAGAGAGTTTTGGTGAGGAGGAAAAAGAATCGAATGAGAGAGCGAAGAAACGACGTATTGCGGCAGAACAATGAACCACTGGAAACAGCGTGCTGCTTCCGTCCCATACTATATTGGTGAAGACTGGTTGGGGAAAGTTGGGAAAAGTTAGCTGAGGAACTGCTGAGACAATAGCTTATGATGTATACATGAACGCTAGATAGTATCTGCACATCATCGTATGATGATTGCTCAGTTAAACCTGAAGCTATAATCAATCGTTTATTTGAGTTTTGCAGATTTCACAAAATATCTGAGAGTAAAACACTGCTAGGAAAGAAATATTGAAAACTTTGCTTAAATTAATAGTTGTAAGACAAAAGCCCCCAATCCATATTCGTCCTGTACAAGAGGCAAAAGCGCTCAGGCAGATACCAGCAGCAACAACTTATTAACCAAGGTATCGATGGATCTGTTTTTCAAGAGTTGTTTACAAATGACGTCGGGTTCCGTCCTAATTCGTTCCTTTCTGTTTACTCCAGTCTTGCAGATTCGCTCCATGAAGTTTCAACGCACGGCTAACAGGACTGTACTGATGATTCTCACCCCCCACCTGCACTGAGAGCTGTGTCTGTGTTTACGACTAAGGGATAGAACACAGACTGAATCTTCGCATGTTTATTCCATATGACTTGTAATTTCTATGCCTGCCTTCTAATATTCTTGGCATATGTCGATACCAATTTACCGTCGAAACGAATGAACGAATCTTAGAGACAGTTGTTTTGCTGGCGACGTTAAATCCTTGCCACTGCGCTATCTGGCTGCTTTAAATCAATAAAAATAAAACTTAATAAATTTTAGGCTATACGACACGGCTACTTTACCAGGTCGATCACACTTTAAAGGATCGGCTGCTACCGCCACGTCGCGGCGGTCAGAAACTGTGACAGTAGCGCCTCAACCGTCGTCATCGTCACCGCCACCAAATGAACGGCCGTTTTTCGAGATA